GTACATTTGCTGTTATATTAAAGTTTTTCTTCATTACCCATTCAAGCCGTCTCCAGCCATTATTAGTCTCAAAGTGGGTTCCTCGTCATCGAAAGAGCTTATGTAAGATCCATTGATGCATACACAAAAAGCCACATGTAATATAGGAGTATTATGGATAAGTGAAGTAAATGGTGTGCAAATAACTACAGGACAATTAGAAGTGTTAAATCGCACGTTTTCTTAACAACATGAGCTCAAACTCAACAAGGAAAGGCTTTCAATATTTCAGAGGTAAATAACTGTTTGAAATTCATTTTAATTTTTGTAAATGTGAAATTTGGTTTATTAAAACTGTGTAAGTCACACTATTGTATAACCAAATTACATCTGTCCCTTGTAAGGTTGAAGTCATGAAAGCTGTGTTTGCCACCAGGTTTCAGATTGTACTTCTTTTTTCAGTTCATTTTCTGTGGATCAAAATATAAATGTTAGACTGTTGTACAACCAAATTTCAATTTCTACACATTTTCTTTGTTTAATTTTTATGAATCAAAAATTTATTTTGCACTGCTGTAGAACAAAATTGTAGTTTTTACACATTTTCTTTGGTTATTTTTATACATAAAAAGTGTTTTGCATTGTTATCATGGTTTCAGAATCTGATCCTATTCTTCAAGTTTAGTAGCTATGCTTTTCATCTTCTAGTTACTATCTGTTTTAAACTTTAGTGTTTATTATTTTGTAGCCTAATTTATGTGTGTAAAAGCTCTCCTGATTCCAAGTAATCCCATTCAGGTATCTTTAGTAGAAATTAATGAAGTCTCTGCTGTTTCACACTAGTTGTTTATACTTGGTTTTCATATTGTTTTGAATATCATCATATCCATCTTTTATTACAGTCAGGTTTGAACATGCCACCTACCATGGTGGGAGCAGGGTATCCCTACCAACCTGCAGCACCTTATCCATCCCAACATACAAGCTTTCCTTCATCATATCCGAACTCTCCAGCACCTTACCCAGTACAAAGTGTTGGCCATCTGGTATGATACATTTGAGTTATTTTTCATGAAATTAATGAACTTTTAAGAGCAAATGGTGCTTCCCTACTGTAACTTGTTACTAATCATATGGTATTTTTTATTTATTTTTACTTATGTGTGAAAGTGTACTTTTATAACATTATTGCATGAAACTAGATGTTTATCATTATATATATGGTATTTTGAGTTGTCTTTTACTGACCACAGTGAAGTAGAACCTATATTTATATAGGATTTTTCTGACTTGTTCAGCACATAAACTGTTTAAATTGCTGCTTATTCTTAACATCTTACATAAATATAGGCTCAATATTGTGATTAAAAGATAACTTAAAACATCACACATATTCACCCCATCACTGTAAGAAACCTAGTTCTTGTCCAGGGGTAGGATTCACTAAAACCTTTATAACTCAGTTACAGTTGGTGATTTTAATGATAGATTGGATTACATATTGATTTTAAGTAGATATTTTTCATGGTCTCTTACTTTTATGTGTGTGTCTACATCTTTTTACAGGTTTGCACGTATAGTGTTATGATTTAACCATTTAGATATAAAATTAAGGTAGTGCATATGTATCTATATATAAAACGAAAGTGGGATAGTGAATTTGGAACATCATGATTTAAATATGTAAATGAACTTTTTTGTGCTTAAATTGATACGCTAAAATCATTGGCATTGTTAGTGTAATAAAGATGTTATTTTTCATAGAATGTAATTTGTTTTTTGAATAGTTATAAAACAAAAAAGTGAAAAAAATGGATGTTATATTGAAATTCCTGTGTGGAAAATATATCTATTTGATGACCTGAAGTGAATTGATTTCCATAAATTGTTAGATTGCAAGAACAGCAAATTTGACCAGAAAATTTATAGAATAGTCTATATTTAAAAATTTGACTGATATTTCTTGTGTGAGAAATAATGAAACTAGACAAATAGTTAATGAAACACAAACTATTATTAAACTAAATAAAATGCACCATAGTACTTAGGGCTAATTGTTGGAGTTTCAATTATACTGATGATTACACCAAATTTATTTACTTGAGGATTGCAGTAGCGAATGGAGCTCACAAGTCGCTAACTCGAGGTAATTTACAGTTAGAATAAAGAAACTGAATCTGAGTCTTTCAGTTAGTAATATAATAGCCTTTAATTATCTTCATGTCACAATGCACAATCACAATATTAAGCATATAGATAACTTTTCAATTGTTAACAAAAATCTGCAATTTATTTCATGGGACTCTACTAAGATTCAGTTAACACACTATAAATCTTTCATTAATCATTCTTACTATAATCACATTGATTGAAGCTGAGAGTCAAAAATTCTACTTACAACATAGTTGGTGAGGTGTACTTCTGCAGATTGGATACCTTCAACATTTTCTTGGAGAAATTGCTGGGGACTCATGAGGATACTATGGAGACTTGGAGAAAAACTTGACCTTCTGCCTCTAACATGAGTTTTTAAACAACTTCATGTTTTTACGAATTCCCAAATAGTATGCAGCACACTACCTGCAAGTAGTTCTCACACCTTATTGGTTAATCTGTGCAACTTCCAGAGCTATTTTAAAACCATAACCAAAACTCTCAAGTGATTGGTTACTGTTATGGTGAGTTAGCCAGTTGCCTTCTTACTTGTGCTAGTACACTAGCATTGCGTAAGGAATCTATCATGAAAGTACCACTTTTGCATGTTAACATCCACTTTTTCGTAGCTTCCACAGTATTAACGAGTTGGCATCAGTAATTATTCACTGCCAATCACTTAGGCTAGTGTTTTTCTCAACATCTCTGAAGCAGCTTCATTTTTTTATAACTCTTAAATCGTGATTCACTAACTCATGATTCTCAATACCACTTAACCAGCCAACTGTATTTTCCTAGCTCTTGACCTTATTTCGTAATAAAGGTGTCTTTACTTTCGCCATTTCTTCATGTATATTTTCACTTAAAAACTCAGAAAATTGTTATAACTTCTTTCTTAAACTCTTTTAAAATGCTAAAATACTGAAGCAATAGTAAAATTCCCTCAAAAATATCCAATTGCTTCACTTGCACAGTCAGGAATGTAGTTGATTATCTACTACATGGTGTTTAGTCTCATAGCTTTCATTCTCTCAAGATTGATCTCTGCAGAACTAAAATATGATTATCTCAGATATGGCCTGCACTTGAAAATCTTCTAGTAGAATTAAACTTAAAACATGTGCTTGAATTCAACAGACAAGCTCAATTTCTTTGTCTAGTCAACAGTCACTTTGTGACCCTTGTTCTACAACAGCATTAGTCATCATTAACATATCAACAGCTTAATAATGGGTGGAGATGGCTTGAATGGGTAATGAAGAAAACTTTAATATGAGTTTAACATAACAGCAAATGCACATAGTTTCAACAAGGTTTTGTCATCATCAGGTACCAAACCTTGTCGAAACATTGTGCATTTGCTGTTATGTTAAACTC